TTTCCAGCAGGCGCAATCGCTCCTGGGACCGGTCCAACCGCGCCTGGTCGCGCTCACGTGCTGCGCGGAGATAGTGGATGTGGGCGCGTTCGATGTCGTCGTCGCTGGGAATGCCTTCTTGGTCTGTCGGGGTGCCCAGCGTGGCGGCGAGGTTGAGCACGTCGTCGTTTACGGGGCTCTCGAGCTCGCGCAGGGCCGAGATGAAGGTGGGTTCCGCGTCGTCCTATTGAGCGGCTACGTCAGTCATGCACTTGACCACGGCTATGTGACAGCACTGCACCGGCAACATCTGGACGGGTGCTTACAGGCGAGTTGGCGGGCGGCATTATGACCAAGCAGGCGGCGCAGCGGGCATGGCGGGACGGAGCGATGGATGAGCTGTCGCATGCAATGCACGACGTCGGATGCACGATGTCTCAAGAGCAAAGGCGTGTCCTCGGCGAAAGTGACGCGACATGTCAAACTCTTAAGCCTGAGCCATTGCCCCGAAAAACCAAAGACAGCTCTGCCTGGCCACCGTCGCGGCACCTGATAGCGCACGCCATCTCGCCATGCACTTCCCCCGTTGTCCCGCTGCTGGCTTCCGCTCCGCCCTGCCAATAGTCGGCGCAGAGAGGCATGCCGCACAACTCAATGCATCCTCGCTTGCCCCAGATTGCCCTCGTCGGTCCCGCGGGCATGGGTAGGTGGTCTGTGCGACGACAATAACCTCAACTACACGCGTCACATTGACGACGCTGGACACTACAGTCCATTTCTAAGCAGGCAGTTAGTCTTGCAGTAGATGTAAACAATGATTACCTTCAACCCGTACGCGCTAACACCCCAATCAAAACCTCATCACGGCAGTCGCTCTTTCCTCTCCAACCCCTCCAACACCACCAGAATTCTTCCCACCAAGTCCGCAAACTCCTCATGATCCCCCCACGTAAAAGGCCCCAATCTCGCCTTACTCGCCCTCACCAAATGCATCAACTTCCCCCTCAACTCTCTCCTCGGCTCCTCATTCGTACACATCGGAAACCTCAAATCCAAAAGCGCACTCCTGGCCGTCTCCACCATCGTCTTGCTACACCACACATGAAACCCATGCATAATCACATCCTCCAGGCTCAGCGGCGCGTGCACCGTCCCTGGTGGCATAAGTAGTAGATCCCCTTTCTTGAGGTAAATAGGAAATCCGTGTTTGTTTGGTGCATACTGAAGACCTGCTTGTCGTGCTACAGCCCATTCCTCGCGTTCAGAGGGGGAAAGCGACCATGTGAACCAGAGTTTCGAGCCCGTCTCACACAACACACCGGTGTAGAGGCCATGTTCGTCAACGTGAGGGAAAGACCATACGCCGCGTTTGCCCCAGAGCGCGAAACCAGTTTTACTAGAGAGATCGCTAGGGTTCGGGTCGGAGTGGTTGGACATGCCACCGTATTCCGTCGCTTCGGATAGGATGCTGTAGTCGGTCAGGCCGTCGAGCTCCCAGGGTAAGACGTTTTGACGTACGGGCCGGATGTCGAGCAGGTTTATCGGAAGGGCGGATGGGTCAGACATGCGTTTTAGCGCGGTGGAGATGGTGAGTCGGCGGGTTATGTTTTTGGAGGTGAGGTCTTGGACGTCCATGTAGGGTTCGGCTGAGGCGTGTTTGCGGAATTTAAGGACAGCTTCATAGTGTTCGGCGGAGTAGAGCGTGCGGGGAGTGGGGCTATTGTTCAGCGAGGAGGGGACGAGGAGGGGAATTTGGAGGGTCAAGCGCTGGAGTAGGTCGCGTGCTTCTGTTGAGGTGCATATGATGATGTTGTTGTTCCAGGTCGATGTGGGCTCCTGGATGCGCTGCTCATACTCTTTTGCTGAGATGGGCGCAACGTCTTCTCCGGGCTTGATCATGTCGATGTAGCTTTGAGACTCTACGATGAATCTCTTCTTCCGGGTTTGCGCGATTTTAGACTCCTGGACTTGCGTGTTGAACTCTTCTAGCATACATATTCCGCGCTCCAGTGATGACTTTGCGGTGGCGGGATAGCTCCTGATGAAATCTTTGGTCTCGATGGCTTGATGCATTTCCGAAGGAGCGCATGGCCTGACCTTCTCAAATGGCTGGATGGTAGCTTCTGACAAGCGCCTCCTTTTGCGAGAAGATGGGCTGTTTGTCACATCTTCTGTACGCTTGCTAGTCGGCTTGGTATCAGCAAACATCCTTATAATCACTGTTAGTACTCGTGAGTAGAAGTTTGATCTTCGTCTGCACATCGAGCGGTGCAGCCGTCATTATATCCCCTTGACTGGTGCTTGCCACCCGTCTAAGCGCATTCTCGAACTGATGGCCTCATCAAGGACCTTCTCGAACATTTGATGCAACTCCATAGAGCCAGAAAGACATGACTGGCATGTTTCTCTAGTCACCAAAGGTCGAAGAGGTCGAGCTACTCACTCGGGTACTCGACAATCAACGCACCCAGGCCGGATGGACGTGCGTCAAAGCTTGATGTAGAACAAGACGTTCAGCAAGTGGATAGCGGTGTATTGTAAACGATGCACACCGTAGATATGCCTATTCGACCAACTGAGCTCCGAGTATCGGCCTTTCCTTTGCTTCCTCCATGCCACTCGCACGAGTCCCCTGACGTATCCCATGATCACGATTCGCTAAGAACGCAGTAAGAGACGTCTTGGCAAGCTCTACTAGGCAGAAGTGTGATCAATTGGGCGTAGTCGGCTGTTCCGGTCATTCACTGCCAAGACATATTAACGTCTCCTCTCTCTATAAAGATTATCCCGCCACCCTACTCTTATAACTCTTCATCTACAGCATTATACTCTATTTCGATTCTCAAGTCTATCCTCGAACACTACCTTCAATTGAATCTTACCACGATAATCCTCTACGACTTGCTCAGAACACCACTTGTATGTACGTTCCGATCGTTGCATCTTTGCTCGACAGACGCTGACGATCACAGAGACGTGCAAAGACTCACATCGAACATGTCGAACAATATAGTAGCCCCCGCGCCCATCCCAAGCGCCCCTCTCGATGAGCAGAAAGCCTCTGGTGGTCTCGAGCACTTCCTTACACTCGGTCCTATCCAACGCCAAAACCTCGTAATGAGCAACAAAGTCCAGTTTGTAGACCACCTCGGCAACGCCATAAAGTCCGGAAACAGCCTCACTGAGTTGCCAATTGCCCTCTTCGAGGCTGTATCGGAGAAGCACGAACTGGTTGTCGATGGCAAGATCGTAGTTCCAGAGGGCATCGATATCAAAGCTCTGAACTACCTTGTCTCTCTGGTACTAGCACTACCAACCGCGCCGAAGGTGTTCCAGTTCCAGAAGTATGTGGTGAGAGACTTTAAAGGCAAACCGATGAAGGATGTCGAAGATACCTTCAAAGACCTACATCTTTGCTGCGCCGCAGACGCATTGGGCATCGGCTCCTTCACCCAAGGTATCTTCAACCACTTCTTTAGCCGTATCAACACCAAAGTCCCTCCTACAGACGTCATCAACATCATCACCGCCGCCAACAATCCAACCGGCAACAAGCTGTTCAAGCAGATGGCGTATACCATGGCAACGAAGCTCAACGATGGAACCTTCCCAAAGCCCGACGGGTTCAGAAAGGACTACCTTCCCAAAAACCCTCGTGTCTCCGAAACCATCGACCGCTTTCTCACCAACATCACGGAGACTGATGCTCGTAACGCTGAGTACCAGGTGCGGGAGGCTGAGCGGCAGCAGTACGCTGCTCATAATGCGCAACACGAAGCTTGGAAAGCGGGGGAGAAGGCCCGTAAGAAGCAACGTGAGGCAGATGAGGCTGCGCGGTGGGCGGCAGCTGGCGTGTCGTACCGGAAGAAGGTTAGTCAGGGGAAGAAGAACTTTACTCTGCTCGAGGTGAAGTGGGCTGATAAGGTGGCGGGGAAGAGGGTGTACCCTGGAACTGGTAACTGATCAGGTATGAATTGCAGTAGGGCGCGACTTAAGGTGGCGTCGGTGGTTGATGCGATGGGCGGCCTCGCGCGCGGAAGACATTTGCTGATATGGTCTGCGGCTTTCACCATGGATTCTTTTGGAGTTGGTGAAGATGTGTATCTAGAGAACCGAGTTTTGGCTTTGTAGACGACAAGTGTATATTAAAGAAAGTGATGGTGAGGAAATGGATATTTCGTGTGTTGAAGTTGCCCAACATGAGTAATGTGCACGTGCTCTTTCATTACGTCATCTGCAAAAGTCACGGAAGTGACGCGACGCGCCGCGCTTGCTACACCACCGACACTCATCTCATCAGTTTGCATCTCTGTCCATCGCCCTGCTGTATATTATCCATCAGTCGAATGTGTGCATTACCATGGCGGGCGCTTCTTTCCCGTCGACCACACGCGCCAACAATTGTCGGGCGGCCATAGCCTACACAGTTGGAAAGAATAATAGCGACGCAACACGTCCATCGAACATCAATCTCAAGCATCGTGCATGTCTCCTGAGCCCCGAAGAGGCCAGGGGCAGGTAACAGCGACATGCACATGCGATGTGATGAACATCCATGTGTTATTGGATGAAACACAAGACTTCTGCGCGGGTCTGAGCAAGACAGATGGTGTGAGACATGCACCCCAGCAACGTGTATAGAATGTCTCACATTACCTCCGCATGCGACGTAATCTCTGAGGTATCTCGCTCAAGCACGCCTACCTAGGAAAAGCTAAACTCCCTAGAGCCTACTACCTACATTGCAAGTTTTTAGCTCAATGTAGTCTGCAGACCTGTTCAATTTTTCTGTATGAGGTGCAAGCTCGCTCTTGCTCAGGTCCCGTGTTTACGCGCTAGTGTCGGCTGGTCCACCTGGGCAGGCGACACTCACGCATCGCTCCTGCTCAAATAAAGCCAGTCGCCCGCTATTGATCTTGTCCGAATTCTCTTCCGAAGCTGTGACTCTCACCTCTATCGCCGATTTCGCACCATCATCTAGGCGTCAACCCCCCAAAACTCCTCCGCCCACGGCAGCCACGATGACCAACCTCCTCGATCTTCCCGTTGAGATCTTCCAGATGATCGTCCACGAGCTAGTCAACAGCGTGATTAACAACGTCAAGGGTCCTTCCCAGGGCTTGCAGATAGATGATGTCTGGAGACTGCGAGATGTTTGCCGTACCTTTGCTGCGGAGATCGAGCGCAACGTCTTCTCCCTTCAGCCAAAACAGGTTTACTGCAACAAGTACTTCGTTCAACGCCTTACCCTCAAGCGTCTGCCCCGATACATGATGCAAGCCAAGCGAATCCCGGGGAACATCAACGAAGGCTTCCATGCACGACTACAGCGCATGATTAGCTACATCTTGCAAGAGCTCGACATCAAAGATGAGAAGCAATGCGCAGGTATCATCGAAACATTCTATGTTAGCTTAGGCAAGATCGTCGACGCGTTCCTATTGAGTCATGCCTTGTGGTGCGATCGCGGTCCCTCCTGCTACTGCATTACCCAGAACCAGCACAGTACCGAGATATCTGTCCAAGATAGGCTTCACGCATCTCTAATGGTCGGAGCGCACGATATTCTTGCTGTTGTTCTCACAGAACTCAGTGGTGCAGAGGGAGATCCACTCTTCGGTATGGGACCTTTCCGGATCGCTCGGACTCTAGGTGACACGAAGTCGATCGACGTTATTGTCCGTTATCTCGAAACAAGGTCGTCATCAGAGCAAACTGCTCTTACGTCCGAGGACGGAATGTTTCGCATACATAGCACCATCACTAAAACGCTGGCTACCGACAGCGGTACAATCGCTCAAACTCTGCTCGACTACCACAAGAAAAATCTACGCTCCCCCGCGAGGCACGTCTACAACTATTGGGTCTCTTGCGCTCTCCATACGGATACGACCAAATATTTGAACAATTTAAGAGCCGTCTTGGATTTCCACCCTGAGGGCAGGACACGGGTCTTGCGCGAAACAATGCTCACCATTTGCGCCAAAGGCAGCCCCGAGGATGTTCAGGAAGCCCTCAAGCGCGTTCAAGATGTCGACAAGGGAACAGCATTGAACGCTCCTATCTTCATTGCTGTTCGATCCGGTCGTGTAGCCGCTGTGCAGGGATGCATCCAGGCAGGTGCCAATGTGGACCTCGCCGTGCCTTCCAACATCCCAACACTTCACAAGGACACTATCACTCCGCTTGACGTCGCCATGAATCGGAACGATGATCGCGTTGCAGACGTCCTCATCAAGGCCGGTGCAACAATCCCGCACATATCGCAGTGGCCAGGGACTATGCGCGTGTACAAGGTGTTGCGCAAGGCCGTCTCGGAACGCACCAACGTCAAGTTGCCGGCTCTGAGGGACTTTCAGCATATGAGCCTGGCAGAACGCAAGGACATACAGTATTAGTGGACCGACAGCGGGACCATGGGCGTGGTTGCAGCTTCGGCGTGGCAAGAGTGATGGACTGGAGCACATGGGAAACAGGCGGCAGGCGGTTTAGTGAACCTTGAAGTATACATTGTTTTGTTACCTATAAATCTGCCAACCAAAACAATAGCGAATGCGCCTGGGTCAATAATGGGTCAAGTCGTCGAAATATTTGCCTTTGTTATCATAATACCATGTACATAATGATGATAGCTGACGTTGGGTGCCGAAAAAGATTTTGGTTGTGGTGTATGCCGGATTGAAGTTGTCGAATACAGTAGTGAAACTAGTACTTTTTAAAAATTCGTGTGTATACCGGAAGTATCACGAGGGTTTGTTCTAATGATGGAGAGTCAAACGTTGTGGTGAGAAGGATTGAAGTTTCGCGAACGCGTCCACCTACGTGTTGACTGAACTTTATCGCTCTTGCTCTAGATACCGAGGTATGACATCACCACATGCTTCCACGCGGCTCGGCCCTGCCGGCAACATCCGCGCCTGACCCTCTCGGTAACCATCCTCTTTCCACTGTCCTACGTTCCCGCGAACCAAACCACTCTCTCAGACTATCTAGTGTCCGCCCAGCTAGAATGCGCCTTCCAATGGTAGAGCACCTCCCTCGTCATATCCCTGTCAACGGGAGACAGCAAGATCTTCACACCCATGACCCTGACGAAGTCGAGGAACTCTCGAGGAATTGAGATATAGACATGTACCTGATAGGTGGCTATCGCAGCTCAAGCTGAACAGATCTGAATCACTCAATGGCTGACGCGATTAACGCCAATCTCACGCCTGCCTAGGCTACGGCGTGGCAAAGTGTATGTCAGCTCCGAACAACTCTTTTGGGTCAACCCAGCGCCCTGATGTACCTGTTGCACAGACGTTGGCGCGGCAAAACAGAGCTTTTCTCGGCCTCTACGCCATGCGTTTTGCGCTACTTCGACTCCCACTACAGCTGAACCTCAACCTGGCGCGACCATCACCCACCAAAACTCTCAACTGTGGCTTGAGTGCACTGTCGATAATTGCTACAACAGTCAACACCATGGCGCTCCTCAACGACCTTCCCAATGAACTTCTGCTCCAGATAACCGAGCATCTCAAGGGCCAATCTCAAACGCTCGCCCGACTCTGCCTAGTCTCCCGCAGATGGAAAGAAGTTGCTACGAGCACTCTTTACACTGGAGTGGCTTTGTATATTAATCCAAAGAAGTTTCATACCTTTGTGCGAACACTGCTTACACACGATGATCTTACACGGCATGTCAAGATATTTGAATGTCTTTGGGATACACGGAACGGCGATCTTTGTGCTGCCGAGGAAGATAAGATACAAGATGAACCAAAGCTTGTGGGAAATTGCGCCGCACAGATCATGCAGATGGCCGTCCCGGTCGAGGTAGCGGGACATCTCACTAGTAATCTCGCGCGCGGGCAGCGGTCGGCTTTCGCAGCGATCATATTACACCTGCTACCGAAGCTTAAAAGGCTTTCAATCCGTGTCACAGACCCCATCATCGGATCACGATTCTCTTTCCGTAACGACCTTCTTCGGGTGTTATATGGAATCAGACACGATCGATTCACCCGGACTGATCTGTGTGGTTTACGAGGCGGGCTCCAGCATTTGACACACCTCTGCATTCCCTTTACACATTTCAATCTCCTCCGATTCTTCTACCTGCCAAACCTGAGGGCGTTGAAACTAGATCTCATGAGCAACGGTATCCTCGATCTAGGGTCAGGCTGGTTGAACCATGTCACCACACCGATAGCTTCGAAGAACGGCATTGAAGATCTAACTATCCAGAGTGATTGCTGCGAACTAGAGCCGTCATCAGTTCACTTCGTCACCCCACATATCATACGATGCCTTCACATCGATGGAAGCCTTAACGGTCGACGACATACACTGAAGCATGTCGACTTTCGTCTCACTTTTGGAAGAGGTTACTACTGTGGAGCTAGGCGATATTTCCAGACCCTGGTCTCGCACCTGGCGGCCGCTTCGACAGAAATTGAGAGCCTGCGCATAGATATCCGCCTAGTCTATTGCGACTGGAGAACATTAGCATGGTACCTTTCGAGTATGAGACCCGTTACTACTCTCTCTGGCTTCGGGAACCTGCGAAACCTTGAGGTGCCACAGGAGTTTCTCATAGACAGAAAGTTTCGTAGCAGACCGCATCCTGGAGGTGATCTTCGACATCTATTGCCCTTAACGATCGAGAGTTTGACTATCATCTGCCCTGATGGTATGGCCATCGTGTGGCTCCATAATCTCTCCCTTGTTCTGGACCACTTCAATGCGCTGCGGGTTCTTGCGCTTGAATGTGTTCCAGGACATGGTCGACTTGCCTCATGGTTCCATAAGCGCCGCGATCCTGTCTTCGACACATTCCGCGATGGAGGCATCTGCGTGCGTATATATGATGCAAAAGCTGGATTCATGCGTCCTCGGGAGTCCTACACTGTCGACGCGCCCGATCTAAGACAGAAAATGGAAGACCCTTTTCAAGACTCTCTGGACATCTCAAGTCTCTTTGGTGAAGACGTCGGATATGCAGGAATATAAGGGAGGGTTTGGTTGGATGGAGACAATGGTCGCATGCTTGTCGATAGATGCACTACTGGCAAAATGACAATCAAGGATATACGCCTCCAATAGCAGGGAATATTGACAGGGTTTCCAGGACAGTATCCGCTGAGAGCGATCTGACTGATGTTGTAAGAGGGCGAAACTCACCGTCAATACACACATGGCTTTCCTTGTAGAACGAAGTACAACAAATAAAGATACCGCTATTAGCTAATTCCAGTTCGTTGAGATTTTTCACGCAACAGATATGTCAGCGTGATGCTAGATTTGGGCACAATGAGATGGTCCAGCGTAGGTGGAGCGGGCCGGGGAGACGACCGCGGGGAAGGTATCGCAGAGTCGGAGGTTCGGCGAATCGACGCGCCGATATCCGAAGCTACCTGCTTCCTCAGTCATGAGCCTCACTGCCTGGCCAGTCGACTCAGTGCGCCATCGCTATCATGTACACTTTACCAGACATCGCCACGACCAGAACGTGCATGCGATCGCCCTTTGCTTCGACTCGTATCCGCTCGTTTCCTCACCGTCGCCCCTCCGGGCACCGCTATCGATGTCGCCCGCATCACACATAAGCGGACCTTTCGTGGTCACTGATGATGGTAACTACTGTAGCCAGCGTCGTAGTCTTCGACCTTGCAAACGATCGCTTTATGCGGATTCGCAATAGCCGACAATAAGCACCATCATTAGGGACCGTCAAATCACCCCACACAAGTCAGAACGACAAGTTTCACTGGGGACTCCAGGCACATACCGTATTACGGGGTCGCGTCGCACACTGAACGAAGCTCACGGATGCTGGATGTCATCTCTGCGTAGAGCATTGCCCGGGTGACAAGATGGTTCGACCTCTAAGACGAGTCGCAGTACGGGTCCGGCGGTATGCCTGTCTGGCAGAGGGAGACAGAGTCTCAGCGCATTCGCCGGTCGCATTATCTTCACTGACAGCCAAAGAAGCAGTAACATAATGATGCAGATAGTGATCTTCATCACGCGAGATATGAAGCTACACGATACGTCCCGGCGCGCAACATAGCGTCGACAAACTCAATACATGACACGCACACATCCGATCGCCGCGACCCTACGAAACCTTCGAAATCGCATACGTAGCAAGATGACGACAGAGCTAGCTACGGCTGCCGACCTCGTGAAGAGCAGAACACACAAGCTACACTAAGCAATGTTGGAGTGGCTCTCAAACCCTGAGGCAGGGCTACACGATGTAGCGTTGTTCACTTGTAACACGACATTGACGCGGTCGATATAATATGCCCTTGCGGACAAGAGTTCTCTAGTCTTTGTAGTCGAATTGTGCGTAGACATCCCCGTCCCAGCACGTTGATCCTGGGGCCCCCATATCGCATGAGTATGAACAGAATGGCGAAGTGGGCGAAAGAAAGTTAGACGGCAGTGTCATAATACCACTGCGCTGTGCTAGCTACACATTTCCCTTCCACGTCAATATCCCGTTTGCCCCGATTGATCTGTTGTAACTTTTCAAACCCGACAGATGTGTTTCCCCCCAGGTTGTGTCGCGTTCGTTTCAAAGACTCCGTCTGTTGCAAAAGAAAGATTAAAAAATTCCAGAGACAATATACCACCAAGCTACAATAGCGGTTACGAAGCAATCATACCAGGGGCTGAGTTATTCTGGGCTGTTCTGGGCTGGGACCTGACAAGTACCCTAACCGCAGTCGGGGCGACCTCTCCCTCCTGAACGTAATCCGGTAGTATCGCGTCCCATGTATACGGCAAGGGTGGAACAATATCATGAGATCGCACCTTGGCCCACTTGTGATACCAGTCGGCCATCCCTGAACATTCAGAATTCGCTTGGAGAAGCTCATCGATGTCCCAGTGCCAATTACTGCAATTATTGAAACGCACTGCTCCAGTTCCAGTAAGAGAGTCTCGCATGAGATCAGGGAAACCTGCGAAAAAATAGCAAGGATAGTTCTCGTATCCTGTTTCGAAATAAGGAATGATATGCCGACCTGGCCAATTCTGCAGCGCCTCTTGCCATGCAGCATCCTCGATGACTATATCGAATATTGGCTGCATCAAATCTCCTTCGCCTTCGAAGATAAGGGTAAAAGATCCTGGAGGCATACCTGCAGATTCCAAAGCCAAAGCTTCCATCATCCAAAGAGCGACGGTTCTAGTAACGTCAGTGCCAAAGAAGGTGCGCATCAGCGCTAACCCTTGACGTAGGTCAGAGCGGTATTCTTCATAGCGCGCAGATTGCAACGAAGTCAGGACTGCACCCAAAAGATCCACACGGTACACAATCTTGAGTTTCGGATTTTCGATCGCAAAGTGTATCAAAGCTCGCGCATGGCACTCCGGGTGCGACACGCTCGCATGCGTATCGTGGAGGGCGATCGATCGGATACTGATCCGGAGATGTTGAGGTAGCTGCAGTAGAAACGTTGAAGCTTGTGAAGCGGCAGAGACGTAATATCTGGTGCGATCACGGGCATGCTCGCGGAAGGGGTTGTGTAGTTCGGACGGCAAAAGTTTCTCCATGGACTTGATCTTGTGCTCGCTGAGGAACTCCCATGGCTTTGGGTGTAAAGAATGAAGACTCAGCGCTTCTTGGCCTGGCGAAAACTGGAAGCGATGGTCTTCGAGCACTTGACGACTCATTTCACCGAATCTGGGATCCCGGGCTACGAGTCGAAGCAGCTCAGCGATAGCGTCCCGATGGAAGGATGGAGCTTGTCCCCATACGCCTGGATCTTTCATTGCTCGTTACCTTCGAATAGATCTCTATCCATGTTTGAGAGGTGTCGTACCAAGGCCTTGCTTTGTGGGAATTGCTCCAATATTGTACGAGCTATGTTGTCGTCAATGAACTGCCGGGCGCAAGGCAACACGAGATATTTGATCATATGGAGATCATCAAATAAGTGACCGTAATGTCTGGCTCTTGCGCTGCATCGCTCAGTGGTCAAGCTAGATGTCGTAAAGTGTATCGTGTTGTTGAGAAGGTGTAGATCTCGCATCTCGGAAGCGATGCTCTTGCATGAGTACATGAGAGACAGTTCAATCTGATCGCCGGACTCGGTGCGTAGTCTTCCGGATTCAGAGTCGAAGTGATACCCGCCATCTTCAATGGTATAGTAGTCATATATTATGTCGCGCAGCTCGCGGGGTAGACGAACGAGCAGCATCGTAGAGCTATGAGTATTCTGTCGAAGAGATCCGATGGTTCGTAGCTTAGGTCTCGGGCCTGCTGGGGATTGGAGATGCAAAACCGGCAAGAAACGTGCCAATGATGGTGCTTATAACTCTCCCATCAGGCTTCAGCTTCACGAAGGATCACGTGACATAATTGGGGTCATCCATGAATGCTACCTAGGTAGACCAGACCACTGAGCACAGTGTGCATCAGTCCCGGGAAGATGCCAAATGCACCCAGGCAGAATTTGACGAATGCAAGAGGCTAGGTGGCAGTTGGTTGGAGGCGCTGATTCGGGTACGTCATGTGGTGAGGGAACCATGGCACCATGCGTTGACTGTGAATGCCCAGGTGCGTAGCTAGATGCGCTGCCCCGTACTCGAGTCGGGAAAGGCTCAATCTTTTGAGGTCCGATGATATTTATTGGGAAATGCTGGCACACCTGCAGCTTCGGCAACAACGGCACGTATGCGTGGATTGGAAGACGCATCCCGCGGGGCCGTGTCTAGCGTCCATCTGCACGGGTGTCTGATTGCCGAAGGCTAAGGCCTTGGCATCGCGACGTGTCGCTCTCACGAAACGCAGCCATCGATGGTTCCGCAAACCTTCCCGAAGCAGTAACAGCGAAAGCTAGGGATTGAGACTTCCAGGATTCGTATTATGTAAGTACGTGTTCCCGCCATCACCACCTACCCAGGTAGGTAGCCTGCACAAGCCTTGAGGTACATATTTAGATATTACTCTTGCACCGTGCGGCTACCTGAGCGCGTTGTTCCATCCTGTCCCTTACACCGAGATTGCTTTACATGATGATTCTCACGTATCTCATTGCGACGGTAGTCACCCGGCAGTCATGCGTGCAGAGTCAATGATGTCAACCTCGATCGCTAACGCGATGACTGTATCTACATAACGAGCCTGCAGTGGCAGCCCGGCCAGACCATGAATTGCAACAAAGCCATCGGCAAATCGTTTTGCAATTTCACAACAATCTACCGACGTTGCAGACCTAGACAAGCTGCACAGTGGGCCATCGGCTATCTCGTACTGTACAGGCATACCCCACGCGTCGCCGTGCGCTGCGCTGCCGCCTACACGTATTCCGCGGCGCAGGATGTTGCCCACGTTCCCAGATTCCCTCGAACCAGCACCATAATTTCGGATGTACCGCCTGCAAGCGACGCTTGAACAACTAGCTACCATACCTGGGTTGCGAAGCGAGCGTTTGATACGCTGGGTCGATTCGTGCTGTCTCTTCGCTCTTTAGAGATCAAGCCACCAGCTTCGCCATTCGTCATTAGATTTGACAGATCCTTTGCTCACGGGTGGAACCACTGCAACATCGGCTGTTTTGACAGGCTTTCTTTGCGCTCCCTGAGAGCTTCGAGACCAGGTGCACACTTATCACTTCACCTTCAAAGATGGTTATACACGAGATCCTTTGACACGTAAACCCTCCACTTCGCCGAAAGTGCTGACAATGCTGTTAGACCCACGAGCCCAATTCACCCAGCAAGAGACGCAACGCGCTACGCACTTCGACCTCCTACAACGCGCTTCGCGAACGAACCGACTGCTCAGGCGCTTCAGCAATCGTCCTACTTCCAAGACCGGCTTCCCACCACACAATGCCGCCGCTTCGGAAAGCTCTGATGACGGGACACGCGCCGATATCGAACAAACCCATACGCAACTCCTAGCCATTGTGTGGGCTCTATGCACGAGGGTATATCACATCGGATGTGGTAAATGGAAGGATATGCCATCACAGATGCGCCACGTCGTGTCGCATGGGTTGAGTCTGATCGCTGCGGAACCGGTTTTGGCTGAGAAGGTCCCGTATCTCTCCCGCTAGTACAGCTAGCAGCCTTGTCTGGATACCGAAGCTATGTCAGGGCATAAGCATGCGCCATAGGTGCTGTCCACCAATGACGATCTGCATGTCATGACCCTGACTGGGTCATTCAACGACGTGGCTTTCACGCGCTGGACATCAGGCCGCTATTTGGACACATGCAAGTACAAATACTCGGCTGCAATCATGGCCCTCGACTCAATGTCCTTTTGCCGACTGCTCCTCGCCTAGAAGTACGCGAGATCGTTCTAGATGAAGACCATGTGGCGGTTTGTTAGCCAAACTGTCACAGCCCAGGCTCAGGGCCTATTCGTTTGCAGAGACCAGGCCTGCCAGTCGAGCGAGGGGCTGACCTTCGGCGGACTATACTCCTGGCTGCGTCAGCTTCGTTGAGGATAATGGCAGATGACTCTCCTGCCTCCGTGCATCTGCACAGGGTAGATCGCGTGCTTGCCGATGCCATCAGCGGCGGCTTCTACGGCCACAACATGGTTGGGAGCTGAGCCTGGAGGCCTTGACTATGACTTCGCTTAGTATATCATAACTACCAATGGTAGCTAGATTTCGTGTCGCAGTATGCAGTTTGCAGGATACATAGTATTACATCCTGATGACCAGAAGATTTCTCTAAGATAATGTCTACTTCTACCTAGTACTCTTTGCAGGATGCGACACGGACTGTAGCCTTTCTTGGTGTAACAAAGCTTCTCGCTGATAATAGACGATCAACGGACTCAAGCAAGACTGAAGATGGTCTTTGGCTTTCTTGTGCCCCTCTGCAAATAGATACCGAATTGGTTCCAAGTCATGGCTTCGATTGCTTTTACACTTGGCAGCCCCCCCGCAATTCTTGCGTTCGTCAACACAAGTAACACCACCTAACCCGAGGCGTGATTTCGACGTCGGCTTTACGCAAGACGAGAGCTGAACTTTGGACTCAAGAGCGACACGATCAATTATCTGCAAGCCCAGATACCTCCACCTACCTTGCTCGAAATCTGATATGCTTGTAGTTCTGGGAACTGTAATACTTTCCATTCGGGAGTATGTCCTTGCGGTATGAGTCGCGTGGAAGGCGAAAGATGTGATTGGCTCGTCGTCTCTGGGTCGCGTCTGGGTTATCGTGAAGGTCGCACCACTTGGCATAGAAACTAGATATGAGCTGCAAAACGTAGTTCCGGAATAATATGACGTATGTGATTGTATCGGGCTGTAGCCAACATGCTCGTGGTACATGATAGCCTAAACCTTGGGGCCATAATGATGTGAATGCTCAATGAACACTAGGTGTGAGCTAGGTATACATATTGTCCTCTTGAGAATTGAAAGAAATGTGTAAAGAGGGTTATATTGCATATGTTTAGGACTGATCACGAACAACATCCCTCGATGAAGCATCACTAAATCAGCTAATGACATTCACTAGAAAATCTAGGAGTTTTTCCGTGTCGGGTCTTGCTGTTGCTTTGCCCTAGTAATAGCGACTAGACTGTTCAGCCTTCCAGCGACATGAGAACAGTCTGCATCGGGTGTTATTGAGGGAAGTCTTCTACTTCTTAATTTTTACAGTAATAGTAACGGAAGTTTCCTACGTGTTCTAAACTACTCTAGCATGTTCTTACCTGCGAATTCTATCTACTTCTAGTCATTAAGGAACAAGGCTAGCGTTTTCAACGAACCGTAGTACGGTACTTTTAAGCCTATCGTGCGGTACGTACGGCTCACTTTTATCTAATGTACGTACAGTTGGAAATACGGTACTTTTGTAACTGTACTACGGGTAAAAGAGCTACAAATACGTTGTACTGCCTAGTTAGGCCTAGTGCCTGCCTAATTAGGCAGGCACTAGGCCTAACTAGGCAGCCGTACTACGGCTCTTTCACCCTCACCTACGTCGTAATCTAGTACGGCCCGCTTTCATCTGGTGTACGTACGGCCCAAAGTACGACGTACACTGTATCGTACCGAATAGTAGTGCGGTTCGTTGAAAACGCTGAACAAGGCTGTCGGAAGAGTAGACACCAATCCACCTCGTCGAATGCGAAGCAGTCTCTTATGCTCTAAGTATTTTGATGTTGATGTCGAAATACTAATTCAAGGCGATATTAATGCGTTATTGTTTCGTAGCAGCTACGGGTCCTATTCTTCTTCGATTCAGAGACCTGGTGCAAAAAAAGACAAGGCCGTAAATGACACGCATGCAGTGAGACAGCCAAATTGGCTCATGAATTCGGGCTACGAAAGTTCGTTTTCAAGAATTAAAGGCGGGGAAAGTGCAAAGACTGTGATGTACGATGAGCCACAAAAAGGAGTAGTTTCATTTCCGAGAACATTATTCTACATCTCTGCTGCCGTCATGTTTGCATCTTCCCCTGTGCCCTCCTCCGCGTGTACCTCTTCGGTATCTTCATCCTCACCCTCGAATTCAAGCTCATCGTCATACCCGTCTTCGTTGTCATCATCCTCCATACCATCGCCACAGTCAATTCCACTGTCGTCACCAAGGATGTCATCGCTGCCGGCTTCCTCTTCAGTCTCGTCTTCGGGTTGATCCTCTCCATGCCGTTTGAAACCTTGGCTATAGAATGTTGGATCCCAGGCACGGAGAGCCTCGATGCCCTTGCGAACCGCATAGACGTCCAAGTCCAGTCCCCAACCAACGATTGGCACTAACATCAGCGAATCGCCTACTTTGTCCAGGTAGTACTTTCGTCCATGAGTATCGCTGGCGTTAGACAGATCTAGAGGGTGATCTGTCTCCTCTGCAAGTATCGCTTGAACAGGGGGAAAAGCGAGCATGATCTGCAAAGCTTCGGCGAGATCTCTCGAATGGGGGTCTTCTGTGGATGCACGCTGCTTCGATAAGACGCTGACATTTCGTTGGCGGCAGGCGTCAGCTGATTGATAAAAACGCCTCAAAGATTCCGAGGAACTGGGTGTCTGATTTTTCATTTGTGTAGCCGTATCCAAAGGTAGGGTTCTATTGGGTCCGATGTCGATGTGGGCACTCATTGTGTCCGCGGCGAGAATATTACCATGGATCATTCTGGTCACGAAAAAGATATCGTCCCGGTCAAAATGAGCCTGTTCCATGGATCTCTCAAGCCCATGTAGCTGCTGTGACATGTGGGCTCTAAATCGGACGTACGCTTCGGGGTGAGTTGCCGAGCGGTGTGCTTCCAACATGCGAGCAATATATCTCTGATAGATTCTGATGGCTGCTTCATCCTGCTCACGTCGATGTGCCAAGTCTCCGTTCGCGGTCGAGACATTCGCACCCATGGTGCTAAGCGTTCGTATCGTGCCTTACAGGCCTGAAGCTAAAAACGATAAGTATATAGGCCTTGCTGTGCGTACATTGTAGCTTACTAGTGTTGGCTTAGATGTATCAAGGTAGGTGCAAAATCCCAGTCGATGCTAGAGCAATGATTGTAGACGGTGGAATGTTAGGAATGGAACGAACTGAAGTTTCCAAGAAGTAAACATATACAGTCTTGGATGAAAAGCAACTTGCGGGCGGTACACGGTACCTAAGTCCTCACCGGGAGCATTCGGACGACCGAGAGACCCTGGCGCCGACAGTGTAGACCCCTCACCGTCGCAACCACAAGGGAATGTCGCGCTATGACGTCAAGACAGCCCTGAAGATGTTGATGTATTGCGTAGGTACATCGGTTCATACATCCCGAGGTCGATTTGACTGTTTGATGAACTGGACTTGTAGCGAGGCAGTGAGAACATGGTACCCGTGATCTCGGGTTCCCCTCCAGGGCTCCACTACCCGGGTAGTATGTTGTCGTCGGGTGGGGGGAAACCTAGATCATCATTGTGAGATAGTGCTTGTTCAACAGCGACATGACGAAGAGCGATTCACGGTGGTCTTGGAAGGATCGTGATGTATAAGTCACGGTTCCGATTGTTATGAATATGCAGGGTCACGGTAACGTCATCTCGGTACTCGCATCCTCCGGACTCAAATCATGGTGAACACACAGCCGGCTTCCCCACGCGGCAACTTCAGGCCGGAATCAGAGTCCGGGGAACATCATCTTCCTCACCCATTGGCGTCAAATCAAAACATTCTGTTATGTCGAGTATATAGTCTAGGCTATGCCTCGGGTTTCAATGAAGCATCCTTCTCACTCAATCCCTGCATCCTCTCTCACATTATTGGGCGAATTCATCTGTCCTTACGACCTGTCACAACATCCCCGACGCATGACAACTTTGAACAATTGACGTCGGAGGTAATCATGGGGACTCCTACCTTCCTAGGTCTTTCTCGAGAGCTTCGAGACGAGATCTATGGGCACTACTTCCGCCTCGAAGACGGCTACTGGCTAAATTCCGATACTTCAAAATTCACTTCCAATGAGGGGACTCGAATTGAGCTAGACTTACGCTCTACCAACCTCCAGATCGCAGCGGAAACACGTGGTCTCGCACTCAAGAACAACGAACTTCACGTAAATACCTGCTGGGAACCATGGGCGAACAAAAGAGTCGGAAACTATGCATACTACCTCGAGGAACTCCATCGCAAGAGAGCGACGTCGCTCTACTACCTCAGTCTACAAGCTGAAGCGCTCCTCCGCCCAGAGGTTTTTGCTCGAGTGAAAGAGCACTACGCGCAGTTCCTGCCCGATTTGTGCAGCTTCAAGGACTCAAAATATGTTGCCGGTCACAGTCGACTCTGGAAGAAAACTCCCTCTACCGTCCGCCAATTTGTTAAATCGGAACTTACGTACATTGTCAAGGAAACACCATCGATAGGCTGGGCCAACAAGCTTCTCACACACTGTGTACCGGATTGCGAACCCTGGTGCGTACCCACGTCAGAGAGTGTCGAAAAAATGTTCTTGTTCATGCCTGACGGCCTACCCGAGACCCACAGGGAAGCCGCAGCTGCAGCGTTCTGGGACGGAGAGAAACGACGATTATCAGCTGCTTCCATGGCGATCCGCTTCTTAAGCCAGGCCTCACAAAAGACGAGACTGGAGATTAGAAAGGTTGTGCTACACGAAAATCGGAAGTCGGTTGCGTGGCCCGAGAGTCATGCGCGTGGGCTTATCCAATTCTGCAAGGAGAATCCGAACATGCGTATCGAGCGTCGTGTGGACCTCTGGAGGAACGCCTTCCCCGCCGGAGATCTGCCGTTGGTAAAGATTCCGAAGTATAGGAACTTCCGGACTATGCCAACCTTTACCATTAGCCGGAGTCTTGTGGGTTGGATTATGGAGGCTGTCATACTGCCGTCTTTGGGCATGCCAGAGAACGCATTCACACTCGTATTAACCGACGAGCCAAATCAGATCATGAACGCGGGTGTCTTTGATGTGGCTATTGAAGATGCAGCCACACAGGCTGCCTTCGTACGTGCTGCAAGGCTTCCTGGTGGTAGGTTCGACACAGGTCGGTGCGAGCCCGGTAGTGACATGCCCATTGTCTACGATGCGCAACAGTGGTACAAAATTTGCAAAATTCCTTTTATCATGGACGGATTCCCAGAAGCAATCGACGCCATCAGAAGGAACACGTCATTAGTGACGTGTGATTTCCCCATAACGACTCTAGACGAGTCAGCACACGTGCAGCGATTCTCAGAGTACTTGCCGATAAACACATCGGAAGACTTGGAGAAATGGAGCGCAGCATGGAGAGCGCGACATTTTAAGACGGGATTTGTGCCTCAGTCACCGGCGCCTTCCTGGCTTGAGCTGCGCAATGAAGACCTCGTCCACCCACCGCAAGGCCCTCAATCTTCAGGGTTGAGCTGGTCAAATCAGGCCTTTGATAGGGGGGATGCACGAAGACGCGAACTCTATGATGCGCTGATGGACGAGAGGTGGGGGAAAGGATGGAGAGATGGAGTGAGAGCGGGAAGGAAGCGGAGGCGAGAATCGGCAGGAACCTGAAGGGGTATACTGGGGGAGCACAAGAGCGGGATGTTGGGGGCATGATCATAAGAACGAGGGTTTTCATTGCGGTCTATATCAACACCTAGGCTAGCGGCTAGTAATTATCCTCTTCTAAGACTTCACATACCCGCATCACCACAATATCCAGAAGAACGCCAACTAATGCATATTGCGACAGACATACCCAAAAGAGCAAGGCAGAAAACACCATCCTTTAGTATAAAACAGTTTCTTGTGAACAAAGGCGCCTATTGAACCTGCTTGATCTTGCACTGCCATCCTGAGTTTGCCTCAAGAAGTGGAAGACTGGCATCACGTTAGCACTGTCACTGTCTCAACAAGCATAAAGAAGAACTCACCTAGCACCCAAACACCATCCTAACTCATTACCCTTGATCTTCTTCGCAATCTTGACCTCGCGGTCAATCGGCATACCATACCCACTCCTCAACAACTCATACTGGAAGTTAAGATCCAAGCACCACTCAGGCCTGCCCTTGAGCTCCTCGATGGCCTTGGGCACAGCGTTGAAAGAATGCCAGCCCTTCTCGCCCATACACACCTTGTTGGCTAGATCTTGTAGCTCGCGGAGGGTGAAAGACTCGGGCATGCCGAGGTCCTGGGTGCGGTCGTAGAAGTAGGAGAGGAGGTATACGGCTTCGGTAGCGAAAGTCTGCTCGAAAGGTGGCTGATGGACGCCGCGGAAGGCACAGGGCGCGATGGCGCATTCGTCGTCTTTGTGGAGGGTCTTCTCGGCTAGGCCGCGGCATTGGGTGGGCGAGGCGGTGGCAGGGCCGGTCATGTTGACTGTGACGGAGTCGCCCAGTGCGTGGCCCTTGGGCATTTGCACCTCGACTTCGCGTGTCATGCCGGGGGCGATGCAAGGGTTGACGATGGGCTTCTGTAGGTACTCCTTGTTGTCCTTGTTGTTCTCGTGGAGGCCGGCGAGCAGGGTGCTGTGGATGTTGTTGCGGGCCTCCATGAGACCGTAGCCAAGGTACGAATGCTGGTAGAGATTGAAGTTCTGGTTCGCAAAGTCGAGCTCGTACCTATGGTCGCCCTTTGCTAGCTCTGTGGGGAGTCCGCCGCGGGGAGTGTCGGGGAAGGTGGGCTCGAAGATGATTTGGGTAGAGCCACCACCGAGATCGAGGACAGCGGCGGTTGGGTTCTTATCCGGGCCGCCAATCTTGCCTAGAAGGTAGTTGACTGTGATCCATGCGTATACTCCCTCCATCTCGCCAGGCATGACTTCGACGCCGTTCTTCTCTTCCGAGACGAGCGGGAACGGGTAGTCGTTGTCGAGGTGGTGGCGCACGGCAGCGAGAATGGCATTGCTCTTCTGCTCACCGAGCTTGCGGAGACCGGCCGTTGCTTTTACAGCGACGGGTGTGCACGACTGGTATTCCTTGGGCACGTTCTTCAGCGCAACGTCCATGAGCACGTCCAGACTCTTGGCAGCGGCCTCTGGGTTGTCGCCGTATGCCGAAAGACCAGAGCCTCCATCTCTCTTGGGTGTCATCTCGAAGTTCTCGCTCTCGAGTTCAGGGCTCGGGCCGCAGTTGTTGAACTTGTAGACGTGGATGCGGGAGCCGGTGCTGCCGGCGTCGATCATAAGGGCATATTGGATGAGCGGCTTGTCCTTGGAGAAGGACTTTGTGCATTCGGCCTTTGCGTCGCCAGCTGCTGTGTTGCCGCCTGCTGGGCGGGATACTGATGACGGTGTTAGCACGTGTCTCCCCCAGCATGTGTCCTCAACGTACCTGCCGGTCTTGAGATGCCATCGCGCGGTGCGACGAAATATAGCACAAGCAGTATGAAAGCAATGACGCCACCTGTCTTCAGGTAGCGCATGCGCTGCCCTTGATTCATGACGGCGCTGCCCTTGTGGTCGTTCATGAATGCGTCCGAATACGTGGAGCGATGGCGCGAGTGTCGGTCGGCTTTGGCGTTTGGGTCGCTGGCGTCGCGATTGGGGTCGACGTTGCGTGGTAGGGAGACGGAGACGCGGCGGCGTGGGCCAGTGAAACTAAAGTA